CTTTTCTCCGGCTTATCCCCAAGCCGGAAGAAAGTGGCAGCCATGTAAATGCAAATGCCGCGGGGGATATTTAAATCCCCCGCGGAATTTGCAATTCCGAAGTCTACATTAGCATCCCTTTTCCGGAAAGGGGTGCCAATGTAGACACAGCCAGGATGTGTGTGGCAGAAAGGAGAGCTCAACCAACATATCCTGGTGCCTTAGATACAAGTCCTTCTAGGAAACTCATTTGTCAGAATATTCACGGAAAATAAACACAGAAAGGCCTGCAGTGTCACCTGAAATGAATCCAAATAGTTGAGAAAATATTGGCTGAAAGCATTTTTCAGTAGAATAGTAATAGAGATGTAGCCGTGTTAGTCTGGTCTTGCTGAAACAAAAGACAGGACTATGTAGCATTTTAAAGGCTAACAAAATGGTTTATTAGGTGATGAGCTTTGGTGGGCCAGACCCACTTCCTCAGATCAAATTGTGGAAGAAAATTGGCATGACCATATATACCAAAGGGATACAATAAAAAAAAAAGTGAACACATATAAAATAGACAAATCAGATTTTAGAACAGAGGGGGAATTAATTGGGGGAGGTTAATGTCTATGGGTATGTCTACACTGCCACCCTAGTTCGAACTAGGGTGGCTAATGTAGGCATTCGAACTTGCAAATGAAGCCCAGGATTTAAATATCCCGGGCTTCATTTGCATGTTCCTGGACTGGCGTCATTTTTAAATGCCCGTAGTTCGAACTACTTGCCTGTGGCAGGAGGAATATCGGTAATTCGAAATAGGAGCTTTAATTTGAACTACCTAGTTCATGCCGGGTGTAGCCGCGGGCAGGTAGTTTGAACTACGGAGGTGCCCAGAGCGGCGAATGCAACTCCGCCTCCCAGCTGGGACTCCCAGGCTGGGAGGCGGGGCTGGGCTGCGGGAGCGGGGGGTTTCTGCCCAATCACAGGCTCCCAGCGCCGATCGTGGCCCCGCCTTCCAGCCGCTCCCCCCGCCCCCGCCAGGCTTCTGCCCAATCACAGGCTCCCAGCGCCGATCGTGGCCCCGCCTTCCAGCCGCTCCCCCCGCCCATGCCAGGCTTCCATCCGGTGCGCAGATGGAAAAATCAGAGAATACCGGACATTGCACATGTCCAATAGTCTCTGTTTTTTTTTTTACCAGACAAAGAGCGCAAATACCAGACTGTCCAGTAG